TCCAGTTGGTCGTTTCAATGTCTTGATCTAAGGTGTAGGGACATCCACCCTTGTAAACCATAGCCATCCTTCAGTCCATCTCAATCCTCTTACCTGCAGTGGCTTCTTCGGAAGTTTCTCGTTTTATAGCATTCGCAGGAGGAGGTAAGTAGTGAGGGAAAGAGGGACAGAGTGAGAGAGCAGAATACCGCGCCCTCCCTATACTTCTTTTTCGTGTTTTCGTAATCCTACTTCCCTAAGCTTGCTTATTCTTGGGATTAGGCAATCTCATGATCTCACTTAAAAGAGAAAAGACTTATGTATATGGCTGAGCAGCTTCGAAGTGAAAACAAAGTGTCAGGGAGAAATAGGCGCAAAGTCTTATCCCAAATAAAGCATTTTAAACCTCCTCCTTTGCTAGATGACTCGGCTTTTGGTCCAGTTTTCCTACGACTAGTTATGGACATACGAATTGGCCTGCATATTCCCTCGTTGCCCCACCACAGTTCCCAGACAGGATGGAAATCTAGATCTAGTGGAATTACCAGGAGGAATCAGCAATGTTGCGGTCAAGTATCCCCACAGCTGCATTGAAATTTGATGGCTGGCGTGGCTGGTTCTCGGATGTTTCCCTGACTGCACCAACTGCGTAGTGCTGGCCGATGTGGGAGGTTGACCATAGGGAGTGCTACCGATGAAAGCTAAGAGAAGAAAGGGTCTATGTTAGCCTTTAATTGCCTGTTTAACTCTCGGTTTTTGGGATGTGCTATTTGGACGCTCGCGATTGTACTCTTACTGGGTGGCCTGGCCTTCGGACCATGTTATTAGCCTCCGAGCCCTTCTTTATGCCGACAATACCCATTCTTCCCAAGCGTTATGTCTTCTTTTTATCCTCAAGGTAGCCTTGAAACGCTGCACGCCTTTTGATACTTCAAGATATTTTCTCTTTATTGTCACTGCCTTATCCGTCTAATCTTAACAATTTCGGGATGCCCCAAATCTCCGTACGAGGTCAGTCACGTTTTTTACTCAAATAAACCAAAAGTTTATGATCGTTTAAACCTTTTTCTCTCCCTGCCTTTTATTTTTTTTTAACATAGAAGACTTTATCAATTAAAAGAGTTAAAAAGTTCTTGTTTTCCGCAACAGTGGGTCGACTTGTTTGCCATTCAATACGTGCTTGATTAAATGTTAAATTTACCGTAGCCTTGTTTCATTTTCCGGATATGATTTTGTGCATTTGTTTATATTTTGACTTCAGAGAGCACAAAAAGGGTGGAAAGTAGCTTATAATTTAGGAATTAACTCCGCTGAACAGCTTTATTTGGTCCATCGCTGTTAATGATCGCACAACTAGAAAGTTTTTTTAAACAAAAATTCCACCCATTGTGGGGCATACTCAGCTCTAAAAATATTTTTCGTAACCGAGATGTGGTCTACCAAAGCATTTAAAAATGGGCAAAATATCGGTTTATCCTTCGGTCGGTCGGTCGGTCAAACATTACCTTATTGGATTCCATAATTTTCCTCTTCCCATTTACCGTATCTGCCAACCAATTACTTCAGCACCGAATTGTTTAAGCCTTACCCTAACGATGGTTGTTCTAAATAGCTTAACCTCCGTTTATTTCAAATAATGACGACAAGAACCCTCCCAGGATCTTCCCTCCCCAGCATGTCACCGTTTATTCTGTTTTTGAGTGATTATATCCACAAAATTCAATACTTCTGAGCTCTGTATTCTACAACCGCATCCTCTCTAAGGTGCTAAGTAACGGAGTTGATGAGAAGCTCCCACGACTATGGGAACGTAGTTCATCTCTCTTCCAGCCGCCGACGGGTGGAGACCACCTCCATCACCTGCAATGTGCATTTTTCCATAGCCTTAGGTACCTTTGAGTAACATATAATTAAAAGTCATAATTATTGTACTGTTAGAAAGGAAAAAAGTACTTTTAGGTACGTTATAGTCTTGATCAACACGCAAAACCTGTCGTTAGGTAAACAAAAATGAAGCTAGTGTATTCCTTTATGAGTTTTTCCATCTGTTGTCAATTTTTGTCAATCACTCTTATGTTATGTGGCTATAAAAGCAAGTGAGAATAGTACTTCAGCTTCGAAGAATTCATAGAAATAAAATTAGTAGTAGCTGTCGGGTGTCATTTTTCGCGCTCAAATGAAGTCGGGACTTTTTTGGATTCCTGTACTGCTCAAAAGCGGCTTTGTACATAATTGATACTTCCACCGTGTGTTGTACGGCCTGTGTGTGGAAGCCTTGCCTGTGACTAGTGGCTACTGCTGGAGACTGGGTCTGGGCCTCAGAGTAGGCCCCACCCTCAGCTAAGATGATAGTTGGCCAATCAGGCGGGACTGGAGGTGGCCCGCAATCCCCGAAATATTCGTGAATCAACCACAAAAATAGCCACCTCTAAAAATTTAAGCAGAAACATTTTAATGGATCACAAGATACTTTAAGCATCAAATTACTACAAATTTGTTGCCAAGGAAAATGCAACAATGCTCTCCCAGCTTCACCTGGCATTGGTTCCTTCATTTAACCAACCCATTTTACACTGTTAGTCCATTGACTGAATTCCCGTTTTTGTGACTTTGAGATCACTTTCCATTCAACACACACAGAGATGGAACAGTCAGCTTCTTGCTGTTGAAGCCCCAAGTTCGATTGCTCCCTCACTCTATGCAATCGCGGGAGTCTTCTCCCTCCATCATGAGGTGGGGTGCACCACACTCCACTCCTTGCGGGCCTAATCAAGGAGACGAGATCTAAGTAGCAGCAGATGAACACCCTCATGGTTATTGTGTAGACTTCCTTGATCACTTGAGATTCACGATGGTAGCATGGAGCTGCAGCTTCAATCTCTTCTACCCGTTCAGAAGAAGGCTGTCTTCAAGGGGTCACCGGCGTCATACATGCGTCTCATACAGTTACTCAGTGCTCTTGGATCCGAGAACAGTTACGTCAGGATCAAGGAAAACAGGCAATTGATATTGAGCGAAGAGTCTGGCACCTCGTGTGGTAATCACTAACAGGCAGTTGAACATTCTTCTTTAAAAGTCTGACGGACACCCTAGCTACATTAAAGTGCCTCCAGAGTAGTTGGAGACATTCAAATGTGGCGCCTTACGCTTGGCCTTCCAACTATTCTTTACGTCAGCATTACGTTCTCTTTAAATACTCGGACAAATTTGAAGGGCAATAAGAATGGACTTCACTGCTGTCAGCTAGTAAATATCCGCCCATGATTGCAGGTACGACCAAACTCCACCTTCTAGAAAGGTAAAAACAACACATCTCACCTTTTTTCTACCTGGAGATAAATGGGGTGAATTTGAAGTCTCCTTATGTTTTATCCATTAATCTTCCCTAATTGACCGCTACCAAGTCCACCAGACATTTTTTTCGCCTCCTTTCCTACCAATGCTCCTTTAGTTGCTAATGAAGCAGGAGATTCTAAATCAACAACATTTTAAGTGTAAAAGTTAAAGCCGATCACTTTTTTCCCTTTAATAAGCAAATATTTACAGACAAGCACATTAAATTAAAGTGTAGAATAATTCCTTCTTTCCTGTAGTAGAGATAAGCTTTAAGAGATACTGCAATCCAAATGAATGAACTCCGACTTGGACCTGCGTTGACGTGAACTGTTTCGACGACGAACTTTAAAACTGTTGCGGAAGAAGGACGCCCTCTTGGTCTGCACGTCGTAACCCGGACTGTTGGCCTTCGTCTTTTCAGTGGGAGAGGAGCTCTCCTGTCGTCCCGTGGTGACAGCGGCACTGCCCCGCCTTTGTTCCATCCACGGTGAAAAAGTGATTGCATGCGTCATCTCGTTCTGCGACCAGAGGGCCTTGAAGATGTCCACTATACACTCATCCGTTTTAGCACTGGTGTAGACAAATTGCGAGGGTTTCAGGCCACTCTTCAGTAACCACTCCATTATTACACCTTCACTGACTTTTGACATTGACGTTGGAAGGTCAGATTTGTTGCAAACAACCACTAGGGGTGAAGGTGTTGCCATTAGAGTCGAGGTTTCATAGGCATGAGGATCGGACACTAGAGGTGCATAGTCTTCACGCTCCGACTTGATCTGTTCGAGGTAACGCCCTGCCGTGGTCAACGACTCCATACTATCATGGGCGAAGACAATGACAAAGGCGTTAGCTTTCGCCACACAGAGACGAATCATGGCGGGAAAATCGTAGCTTCCCGAGGTATCCATAAACTCCACATTGGCCAGACAACCACGAACCAGGAATTTGGAGGAGTACACATCGTCCACGGTTGGAGTGTACTTGGGCTCGAAGCAACCATTGAGGAAGCGACGGATAATGCTGGTTTTGCCAACTTTTGCAGCACCTAGAAAGACAACTCGACATACGGATTTGGAGCCATTTTCTTTGGCCTCAGACGCACTTAAGAGAGCGGAATCGTTTCTTGCGAGGCTCCTTCGCAGCTCCGGTTGAGGCTCCGCCCGAGCCATGAGTGCGCTCTACAATGGAGGAGTTTTAGCACGTAGAAACATCTGGATAGCTGAACCTTGTGTTATCTTGATTTTTATGCAATGAATACAGCAATAAAAAGGCTAAATGTCTGCAGAAGTTTTTGTTCCGTATATGCTACTCATTTAAAGACCGTGAGTAGTATGTCCCTGCCTTTCCGAAAAAAACACAAACTAGGGGCCAATACACTTATAGGGAACGTGTTTTTTAGCCGCTGATCACTTCTGTTTCTTGCTTTGATTTATTTTCCGACTGTTGGAGCCATCTCGTCAGTGATCATGTGATTGTCAAGCAAGGGTTATAGTAAATACGTGAGGATCATCATTACAGGGTGAGTGAGGGCGAGGTATAGCGTCCTCTCAGGGGTAAGCCTTGCAGTGGCATGAAGTCTTCCACTGATTCACTAGTCTTCACTGTCCCCTGCTTGTCTACCATGAAGGGGATTTCTTCTGCGCTTTCGATTTGGTTTGGTCGTCGCATCAGTCGGTCAATTAGGCAGTCGGTCTCGATGAACAGAGGGAGAAGACAGTAAGGACTATTAAATGAGTGGAAAGACTTTCTACCATCACAAATCTTCGACCTGAGAAGATCCCAAGCCCAACTTTGGCCAGGGAGCGATATCTCCGCGCTCCAGACTATGAGCGCTATCTTTTCCTGATGCTGGACAATTTTTTGATTACATGTGATACAAAACAAGCAGATTAAGAGTAAAAATGAAGCAGAAACTAAGGAGACCTAAGTTTTATTTCTTTTTTGCCTCTTAGGAAAATAAAACTTTTTATGAAAGTGAATTTTACTGGCTACTTGCCTTTCACATTTGATGGGAAAAGGAGATGTGATTGTAAATTCATTCTTTTATTCATTTAACAGATTCGTTTGTTTGCATTATTTGCGAAATTTTTATCCGAGAAAATTTTACTAACTTACCTGGTTACCTCATACTACTCAGTGAACCTCTTTAAGTTACCTCTTTTAGTATGCTTATATTATTAACTTTAGCAGAGAAAATTCATAAAAAGCTAGGATAATAAGGAATTCTGTTCTAAATCTTTCACAGAGGAAGTGCTTAAATGGAATATTTTAATGAATATTTTATTATGTTATTGACATAAAGCTTGCACTTTTAAGCGTGGATTTTCGCATGACTTTTAATGCCTTCAGATCGTTTGGCGAGATTAAAAACAGAAGGGTTTAATTTTAATTAAACTTTGCAACAACACAAAAGAAGATTTAAGTAACGCAGTTTAAAAAAAGCGGGATTGCAAAAATGGTTTGATCACTTTGATCTCAAGGGCTGCTGCATCAGAAAGCTCGGTGCCCGCCCCGAAACCGTGGGGGTGAAGAAGGCGGAAAAGTGTACCGCGGGAGGAGAGGAGGTTACTTCTGGTGTGCACAGACCACATAACCAGGGCGGAGGTGCAGTTTAGTGGTTACTGTAGAGCCAGAATGGTTAAATAGACACACCTAAACAAATGTCAGTCCCCCAGGAAATTTAATGCATCACACATTCTTTCTTCTCAAGAATAAAGAAAAATTGTCATGGTTACGACAAAAGGGGTATAACTCCTTATTTTCCGGGGCCGAGGGGAAAAGGAATTATTCTGGTGGGGTATGCGCTTTGTAACCCTCATCCCGGCGCGTCCTGGGAAAGTATGAAAGTGCTGTGTGAGATGAATAAGTGATTTATTTATGAAGCGGAAAAAAAATTTTATTGAGCTGTGAAAAAAAACAGCTTACTTAATCCTAGAATACATTAAGTTACATCCACTGCAGTTGATGATAATTGTATATAAAGTGTGTTTTCCTTTTTGGATTCTTTTTCATGCATTTTTAATGTTATGGGAGCATTTTAACAAATTAAAAAAGGAAAAAGCTTATGTAAGCCCGATAGTTGGGCATTTTTGCACGGAAGAAAGTAGTGCAATGAAAATACGACCATTTTCGCAGCTTTTTTTCCTCCAAATATTCACTTATGAGGTGTCACTTTTGTGCCATCAATGTGGCATAAATTATGGTACTTTCCCCGAGATAATTGGAAAGTAGTCACTTTCGAGAAGGCGTTTTTTCCCCCTACTTGAGGCCATAAACTAACCAAAACCGTGATTTATTTTAATTAGTGTACAATCGTGGATTTTAAGGCTAGTGAGGGAGAGAGGGGAAGAAGGGTCGTTCGTCTCATTCAGCGTGAAGGCCGAGTCTTCACATGTCGACTGAATGGGAGGGTAAAATTGCCCTCGGCAGACGGGCGACGAACAAAGTGCCCGGCGGTTAGATGAAATTGGCGAGCAGGTATGAGAACAACAAGTAATTACCCCTCTACCGGAAGTTTTGGACGCGATCTCACTTAGCCGTAGGCACTACACTCAGAGCGACATTTACTTGACCTTTTAGATGCACCCACGCAGACTCACCAACCGCCCTGGACTTTGGTCACCATCTCTGTGCTGTGGCATCCAATCGCCTGCATTGTTGTCGCCAGCCCATCAGTCCTAATGTCCCACGCTTTAGAGGGTTGCATTCAGGCACATACAATTTGCAGCATCTTCGTAGAAGATTTGGCGCCTCTGTATGATCTTTTTGTTGCCGCTGTGTTGAAGGCAAACACTACGCCTTTGATGAATTATTTATTTGAGCCGTAGAGATAAGAGTCTGACAGCCTCTGGCATAAGAGCCAGATTTAAGTGATGAAGGCAAAAGGTGTTTTAGTGGATAAACAGCACTCAGAAAACTCTACAATTTGCCTTAAGAGGAGGCGAGTGTGACAAAAGGCCTCCTCCACCAGGTGGAATGTAAAATGAAGGGGGTATTTTTCTGAATTGTGCCTTAAAAATTGTTATCACAGTTGTTTGCTTTTCAATTATTCAGACATTGCCTTTAAGTTATTAAAAAAATCTTAATCCCAGTCTATTGGAATAAAAATTAAAGCCTGGGCTGAAAATCACTTTTATTTGCTTTTTAAAGCAGTCCTTCTGACTGACTGTGCAACTATTTAAAGACTTTATAATTGACCCCGCTTTAATCATTAAATGGTAATATTCCTTGTTCCTTAAATAGCAATACTTCTTAAATTAATTACCTTGAGAGTCTTAACGAGCTATTTCGCCGACTATTATTGTAGAGTGGTGTAAAAATAGCATTCTTTTTATTTATTTAAAGCGTGCATTTACTTGACAGTTAATGAGTATTACTCCAAAATATTTTTAAAGTATGGGAAGGTACGACAGCACCGAACGGAGGCCGCCGTTGGGGGGAGGGGGGGTGGGCAAGCGGACACGCTGATGCCGCTGCACATGTTACCCTGGCGTCTTTTTTTATCTTTTTTTCTCAGTTGACTTGGTGACCGAAACGCTTTGCTTATCATTGCATCGGGCGGCCCTGACTTAATTAATTAATGTTCATTCTGAGAGCAAGAGTTTATTTTTTCTAGCACAAAATAACCCTACCAATGAACTCAGTTGTGATCATATCAGTAGCACTTGCGGCAAATGAATATTTTGTGATTAAATGATTCCCATTTTTTATTGAGAGAGGCAAAGAGCACTTCAGTCCATGGGCATGTATCTCGAGCAGTCCCGAGATGCATTATGATTCGTGGTTAAAAGCATCGATAAGCGAAATGCATCTAAGGTACGAATGTTGTAGACACCAATTTACCTCTACCCCACAAACCTCATAATGTGGGGAACGCCTACCATTTGGCCCTGGTTAAACTTTAAAGGAAGTGAAGTTAGCTTTCTTGGAAGGCGCTTTTATTTTACAGGGTGGAGTGAATTGTCTCAATTTGTTTGAGTACCACGAGTTAGCCATCGATGTCACACGGATGAGACGGTTCGGTTTTCTTACCTAGGCCTGGAGCTTCACATATAGGTGAGAGGCTGGTTACACCAATCAATCCGTGGAACGAACGATTTGATGGAGTTTAAGAAACTGTAACAGAGTTTATGACGAACAGCAGTCCCCGTTTTGCCTACTCTTGAAAGGCACTTAGATTAGGGTTGCAAATATACTTAATTTTTAATCTATCCTCTCCATCTGTGTATTTAAACACCTCCTAAGTCACTCAACTACACTCAGAAATTCTAATTTAGCTTGAAAGTATGCACGATGTTAAGTTGCAGGAAATATTTCATTAGTTAAAAAGAGGCGGAGACTGTTTGAAATTGGCAATTCAAGTGTAAGGTTTTACGTTTTCCGGGACATTTCCCTACTGATTTACTTATTCCCACATTTAAACGGGAATAGTAATAAACCTCGTTATAAGAGGCAGCCTTTTGCATTATTTACTCAAAAGGAGTAGAACTTTCCCTGCATAAAAGTACTCGATCACATCAACGCACAACTCACCTTGTCCAAATCTCGTCAAGTAAAGAGTTCTTTTACCTCGGGCTGTCATAATTACTTGCTTGGGGAAGCCTTAGCCAATGAAAAATCGCCTTTTCGGGATCAGCCAATCATAATTCGGGCTCAAGGGGTCAGCCAATCAAAACGACAGTGATTCTCACTTCAGTGACTTAGATGAGAGGAGCATAAAATGCAATTTCCTTCAATCTCTTATCCTGAATATTTGAAAAACATCATGAGGTCACCAAATTGTAACTATGGGAACTCAGCTTAACTTGTTTGAGGTGGTAACTGGCTTGAGAGAATGTCAATGTCAGTTGATCTAGTGGAAGCAGTACATTGGTACCATGGCGGCGAAATAGCGAAGTAAGAAAAGGTAGTAAGGCAACGATACAGCAGTCTGGAGAAACCTGCGTGTCCCGGTTTATGAGGGCTTAAGGGTGGGTGGGTGTGTTGCGAGGTGCGCATCCGGACCGACGGTGTGACTAGCCGCGCATTGGCCCTGACCCCATTTCAGACATCCAGTCAGGATGCTAGAGACGAACAAAATGGCCATATGTAGATAAATTACTACCCATTCAAGCCTGACAATAAGCCAATTATGTCAAACCTGTCAGGTCCGACATATGGAATGGCATTCTCCCTCTCACCACCCCCACCTTGTGCATTTGGATAAATGACCTTCAGAGAAGAGTCGGGGGACCAGCAGACAAAGCAGAGTCATGGCAACAGCGTGACGTCTATAACCGCAGTGGATTGAGGATATGCGTTAGTTGTTGCACATGATTCTCAGACCTGCCCAGAGAATAAGGAGGCTAACCAAGATGATAGTTCGTGAATTTTACTACAATTTCAGCCTCATTCAGCTGACTTCCTGGGCTACCTCCGAGTTCTACCAACACCGAGAAAGCCACCAGGTCTGTAAAGAGAAGTCAACCTGGTCTCAGCCAATCAGAAGAGAGTGAGCGAGAGGCAATTTTAAGCTTATTCCTGTGGACAGCCACAGGAACGGAAACTTCCAAACCACTTCGCAGTTTTGTTCTTTCACTAACCTTGACGTAGACCTCAGAATTAGGAAACTACTTTAATCATGAATCCAGAAAGAGCCGCTTCTTTCATCTAGCCTATCGGGTGGAAAACCGACCTCTTCACGTGGTGATTACGACTTGGGGGGCGTTGGACATCAGAAGGCATGCAAGTACGGTAAAATAATTCCATGTGCTTGTGCTGACTCTCCTCGAACACAAAGATGCAACGAAAGGCCGTGGGCAGAATAATTCCTAAGAGAGAAGGCCAAAAAAACACTGGTGGCCTTTATTAACCCAGGTTAAGTCAGTACATGATCGCACTCTCTGTCGGCGAGGTCACTCAATTTAGATACGAGGTCATACTTCATCTTAATTAGATGCCCTGGTGATTGTTTAAACGAGCGCGCTCGGTGAAGCTAAATTATCAGGGTCACTACCACTGGGTTACACTTAATCATCCAGCAAAAACATAAATTTTGCCGCTCTTGGTCTTCGACAGGAGTAATTACGCGTGTAGAACTGGAGTTCCACTGACACGTTTTCGTCGAAGGAGTGGTTGAATTAGTCTAAATCGCTTGTTGGAGGATAAAGGGTAGCATTAAATACCGTTTTTGGCGCAGTAGAGGAGAGAGTGACTCCATTTTTCTGATGGCAGGAGGGTCAGTCCCTCCACATGCTTTGTAGTGCGTTGAGGCAATGCGGATGTCTTTAACTTCTGGGGAATAAAAAAGAATGCTTTAGGTGAAGCTTCAAAGAAAGATATGAAGGTGGAAGGGTCCCATAAGGCTCAATAATTTTTACATCAGGAGAATGAAAAATGAGTAAGGTCTGGTGTCAATAGATGAATAACTAGGCGACTTTCAAGCGAGAAAAAGTTTAAAGGAAGGAAGAATAGTGGTTGCCATTACCAACCTCCTTAAGGAGTATCATCTGACCACTGGGACGCAATTTTGTTGAGAGGACTTTGACAGGATATTTTCTCACCGGCAGTGGATGCAGAGGTGCCTCCATCATACAGTCTTTGCTGCCGTTTCGTGGCTGATTTTACTTCTGCCGATTGAAGCGAAGGAGGAATAGAAGGGCAACGCCCAAACACTACACAACTTCTAGTTTCGCCTCTAACAGTTTGGAAAAGCAAAAAACCCAACTCTAACAAACTCGGTAGTTTCTGCCTTTTCTTTTTTGGGTGCAATCAAGAGATTGTCTAATTCCAATAATATGCAAGTTTATGGAAGTAGGATTACGGCAATGTAGAGCAGTAGCGTGAGAATGTTGTAATGTTATTCTTCATTCCCCCCGTTCCTTCCTTATTCTCGCCTCCTTTCCCTCACCTTTCTCTCCACTTCTGGGCAATTTGATAAGAAAATTCGCAAGAAGCTACTACAAATAACAGGACTGAGATGGACTGACGCAGGAATGAATGTCCATGAAGCATACGTCAAGACACTGCGTCGACCAACCAAAA